TTTCTGCAGCTAGAAGCCCAGCACTCACTCCAGCTACTTTGCATGACCCTCCCAGGCACCCTGCTTTCCAGAGCCCATATCAATGACTGAGTCAGAGTTCTGTGGAAGATCAGTTCAGTTAGGACCCAGAGGGAAGTGTGGAAGCCCCAGTTCAGCTTCTCTGCTATTCTGGCTTTCAGGTGAGGGGACCATGGGGTGGTTCCGTATGTCAGTGAAAACTCTTTCTATGTTGCTGGGTCCGGTGGCCTGGCACCTCTGCTCAGCAAGCACAATTGGAGCTCCATGTAGATCAATGGCCCTGTCTTTGCCAGGAAGACAATGGGTATAATCTTGATTACATCACTGGCATTGCTGGTTTATTCTCAATCTCAGAGACCACTGGTGAAGTCGTGACCATGCAGTCTCCAGCATCCCTGTCTTTGTCTCCAGGGGAAAAAGACACCCCCACCCGCAGGGCCAGTCAGGTTGTTAGCAGTTCCGAAGTCTAATACCAACAGAAAACAGAGCAGGCTCCTACTTTCATCTGTTTTTTCTGTCAAGAAACCACTAGGGCACTGAGGTCGAATTCTTCATAGATATATTCATCTTGTTCCAAGTTGTTCAAAAATGTTTTCTAAATTCTCGTCTCAAATTAAAGATTTTGCTGCGATGATTGTGGTTACGCAAATTGTGAATCTCTCTCAGACTCTGCAAATGTTGACATGTGGCAAATTTTATAATAGGTTTCTCATTATCTTTTTTTTGTTTTCCTCTAGAAATTCTGCGTTAGTTGAACTGTAATGACTGATACTATGAGTTTAGTTTAACCTCAAGGCAGATTACTTTTACTTAAATTTAATACCTTTAGCATTAAGCCAGAAACAAAAGACTTAGCTCTTGCTTAAGGGCATACTCAGGGCTATAATTGGCTAGCAACTACTTGCTTTAATTTTCTACAGAATCAATGGGCTCCTCCTTTTATTTTGACTTAAAAATTATCTATTTTGACTGCTGCAAAAGTAATTGCAGGTTGTACCATTACTTTTGATGGTCAAAACCGCGATTACTTTTGCACCAACTGAAATAGATGATTTTTGAACAATTATATTTACTAGGATAAGATATTAATAGAAATTGTCATATTCTACTTTAAATTCCACCTAGGTCTTCTAGGATTGCAGAAAACTAAGAAAGTCATTTTCTGGGTTGAGAATGTTCCTAACTCATGAGGGTAAGGATATTAAATATGAATAAAATCTGGTTGAGTAAGTTTCTCAGAAGTGATCATGCCTCTAGTAATCTATTAAGTTTTATCATTTCATCCCTGGGATGCTTGTAGGAGGTCAGAATTTATTTTATTTTATTTTACTTATTTTATTTGATTACTGATGCTTCATTCTCTTTATCAGGAGGTATTTCAGAAGGAGCAGTTTCTACAGGTACTGAATATGAAAGCAATTGATGCTTAATTGAAGGTATGACTTTGAGTGATCCTTGACTCCTGGCTGAGAAAGGCCCAGAAAAACTCAAGTTCACCACTGTGATGGGAGATCCTGCTTCCACAAGGCAGAGAATCAGCATTTCCATTTGTTGATGTAGATACTACATTATTGTTATTATTATTAAGACATGGAATGGCCCTAAATTATTAATTCAGCTAGTGTTTCTTTCCTGTTCTGAACTTTTGGTTTTTTATTAACAGAAGTTGAAAGAAAGAGACTAAATGAGAATTTCAGTTGATTTTAGAAATCAGTTTAAGTGGTTGAATTTGATCTCTGATTTTTCTTGGGTGTCTTATATTTCCTTGTTCAAAATTCACATGAACATTTTGTTGATTCTTGAAACTATTTAATATGAAAGAAGAAGCTATAAATGTGAGAATTCTCAAATTATGTTCTCATTTTTTCCTCAGGTAAGGTATCTTACCTAAATTAAAAATTAAAAGCATATTTACTTTTTTCTTCTTGGTGTACTGATACAAATTCTCAGTGATGTATAAATGAGCCAAACATGGCCAGTGTGCCCTTGTCCCTATGCTGTTTATTTCTAAACTGCAGGCTTATTTCTTTATGGCCTGTGCCAAATTCAAATTTTCCATCCAGTCATTTCAAAAACAGTCCAAACAATTAGCTTTTTAGCCATTCGGAGAATATTTACACTATATATTTCAGAAAATCTCATCTACATATGAAAGTAATTGATGCTCCCCCAATTAGGAAAACCCCCATCCACTTCTGCCCTGGGAGGTCTCTAACCCAGAGACTCCCCACTGTGCAGTTGTGTGACATCCCGTAGACACAAAAGCCCCTTCTCCAGTAAATCCCCATCTCCACCTTCTGAGAAGCAGCCCAGGCACTTTAGCCTCTGGCCAGACTCCTGCTGTGAGGGACTTTTCCCTGTAAACCCATCAGAGGTTCAGCCAGTAAAAGTCACCTGTGCTACTGCCCCCCTGTGGACTTCTTCTTTTTCTTGACTAGAATCCAAACTAGCCAAACCCCCCTCAAACAGGAAGACACTTTCCACCCCACAAACACTGACTCCAGCATAATGGACACAACAATTCTACTTCCAACACTGTCTTGACAAGTCTTAAAAATAATACTCTTGATTCCAATTTTATGGACCCCCAAATAACAGCATCAGGCAAATGGGATGCAATTACAATAAGCCCCACCCGTATCAGTCGCTCCTCATTCAGGTGACCATGCTCCAGATCAGAGACAGAGGCCTGCTTCACCGCTAGATCCAAATGGAGGCTGTTCTTACACCTTCTAATCTGTGTCCACTGAGGAACAACCGGCTTACTCTCTTATCGAATAAGTCTTGGGATAACATGTTAAGATACAGAGAGACAAATTTCTGTTCTGAATTAGGAATATTATTCTTCAAGTTAATATAGGGTAATTTCACAGCCCCTTTATGCTGAAAAAAGAGTGTTTTCAACATTTTACATTTTACAGATTTGTAAGGCAATAGATTGTGTGATAAAATACCGAATCACAGTGATAGACTTTTTAGTGATGTATCATTTTCATTGAAAACTGCAATATTGTCTTAAATTCAAGCATCTTAAAGAAGGCTTTGTAAAAATAGCATTTTAAAGAACCAACTTTGTGTAAAACAAAACATGACACATTTTTATTGTTATTCATTTTCCCGTAAATCAAATGTTTATATTAAATAAGAAATAGAACTGATTCTTCATTGAACACCCTTTCGGAGTAATCCTTCAAAGTTAGCAATAAGATGGACTACGGTATTAGGGTCGTTACATTTTGTATGTTTTCTTCTTTCCACTTCTGGTGTTTCTGACTCTTTTTACTGTTGTGATTAATTAGGAGACTGATATTTGTAAGACCAAGAACCAGATTAGAATTGGTCAACATGATAATAAAAAAGTCAAATACACAAATTTATAAAATGTGAAAAAAGGGTTAAAAAATCAAATAGTTCTACATGAGACTTTTATTCTAATTCTGCCTCTTAGCTACAGTGTGACATCATTGACCCAGATTATTACCATGGAGGTCACCAAATAAAGGTCAGTATCATTTTTACTCAATTATCTTTTTCAACCTTGCACATAAATATTATTTGGTACATTTCTCAGAAGATATTCTGAACAAGATTTCTTTTGGAATGTTACCTAGAAAGGCATTTGTTTGTTCATGTTCTTTGGCAATATGACTTGTGTTAAATTACCTAAGACTACATAGTAATACAAAGCAATTTTTTAATTGTTTACCTGCCCACACTTTTTTTTCTGAACTATGTCTATCGTTGTGAAGGGATTTGATGCAGGTACTACTTTTCAGGAGCAGTTCAACAAAATGTTAGGCACGTCTCTGAAAAATGAAGAATAGTTCAGTTGTTTCCCTATCTAATGATCAGCCGTGTGGTTGATTGGCATTACTGAGCTGTGATCATTTTCACATGGAAGTCCAGGAAAATGGCAGTTATAGGTAAATTTTATGCTAAGACATAAAACTGTGGATCCAGTTCTTGCTCTTCTTACACAGAGTATCTCCATTTGAACTGCGGGCTCAAGGCTACAGCTGCACCACATCCAGGCTGGGGGAGACTCAGGATTCACTCAGAGTTGACAAGAACCTGGAAGTCCTGACAGGACTCGATTCCTCATGACCAAGGAGACCATGTGGGAGGAGTTTCCCTGAACAGCACGCAAAAAAACATAATGCAAAGTTATTTCCTGCTTGTTCTGTATTATTATCCTAGAGAATTCTTCTGCTAATAAATCCCTCTGGTTAATCTCACATATGTGAGATAATTATGATGAGACACATACCAGATTGCTATAATTGGTCACCATCAATTTTTTATTCACTGCCTGAGGCATGAAATTCTTTCCTCTTACTTAAGTTGCACTGTGTGCCTTCTAAGTGCAAGAGACACATATCATCCTCCAGGTAAAGGCCTTCAAGAGAGCACTCTTACATATATAAATCACCAGGTACCAAGGGAAGGCAGATTCTAACATTTGCATCTAACGTTTTTGAACAGTTATCCTGGTAATAGAAGATTCCAGATAACTCTTGAGCTGGCAGAAGTCTCCCTTTTTATTTGCAAGCACATGCCCAGCCGTGCTTGTGGGGATAGGGCCCTTTCCTCTCTACATGAGCTGGGAGGGAGCCAAGCAGGATGGCATTCACCTCCCAGAGATCCATCCTAAACACACATTTTTACTTTGTCATGATCTTGGTGCTCTCTCATACTGGCACACCTATGTGTCTTTGTTCATGATCCAAATTTCACAGTTAGATCTTCTTTCCACCACTATAGGCAAAATGGACTTCAGTTCTATTTGTTTTTCTCCAAGGCACAATTTATATCACATTGCTCACAAGAAAGACCTGCCCCAACCACTGGCTCTTTCCACCTCACTACACCCACCAGGGGATTTGCATATTGTTTCCTGGGGAGAATCGTCCCTTGCAGTCAGATAAAAGCTCAGCTCTAACTTTGCAGTGACAGATTAGAACTGCTCAGTTCACCTTCTCAAGATGAGGTTCCCTGCTCAGCTCCTGGGACTGTTAATGCTCTTGGTCCCTGGTAAGAACAGAAGGAGAGAAGGGAGGAGAATGGGGTGAGAGGGTGAGCTCCGAGGGCTCTGCAGTCTCCCATGTTTATTCTACCTTATGTTAAGGAGTACATTCTAACTTTCAGGGAAGGGAATTTATACTTTTTCCTATTAAAAATTAGAAACCATCTCAAAAAAGAATGACTAATGCTCTAAGATCTTAGAAAATAAAAAAGTTCCTTGTGCTTATTTTCATATATTTTAGAAAGTCTCTTATTTATGATATGAATAAAAATTTGAAAAAAGATTAATCATAAATTAATATCATAAGAGAATTCATGAAAGTTGCTCATAATATTTGTACCTAATCTTTTACTTCTTTCTCATTGTTTTAGGATCCAGTGGGGATATTGTGATGACCCAGACTCCACTCTCCCTGCCAGTCACTGCTGGAGAGCCGGCCTCCATCTCCTGTAGGTCTAGTCAGAGCCTCCTGCATAGTAATGGAAATACCTATTTGTATTGGTACCTGCAGAAGCCAGGGCAGCCTCCATGGCTCCTAATCTACAGAGTTTCCAACCGGTTCTCTGGGGTGCCAGACAGGTTCAGTGGCAGTGGATCAGGCACTGATTTCACACTGAAAATCAGCCGGGTGGAGGCTGAGGATGTTGGGGTTTATTACTGCATGCAAGCTTTACAAACTCCTCCCACATTGATACAGCCCTTAACAGAAACCTCCCTGTTTGGATGGCCCAGCTGCCCACATGTGCTGCTTGTCTGGGGAGCAGCTCAGCAGGGTCTCTGAGTCTGCAGAGAGGAGGCTGTTGGAGAACTCAGGGCAGACCTTGCTGCTGAGGACACTGGCCCATGAGAGTCTCATCTGCATCTCAGTCTCATATGGGAACACTCCATCTGCTGTCACAGCATGAGGATGGCATCAGCAGTAGAACTATTCAGATGGTTCAAGTGCCCTGGAAGCAAACAGCTCTGATGAAGGGAGAGTGAATGAAAGTTCATCCTCACCCTCCGTGTCTGGCCCACATGTGTCAAGTACTTTTAGTCGGCAGAACAACCAGACAATGGAAGCAAGTTAGTGTTACCTCGAGTGGAATATGTGTTGGAAATAAACAGTTTGAAATTGGGTTTATTCAAGTTAATACATGGCATTATGGGGAAAGTATTATTTTCTCACTTTCTGAATGTACTATCTCTTTTATCACTTAACTAAACTGCCCTTTTCATTAACATGTTGGAGAACGCATTCTATGCAAGCTGCCTTCAGGGGAGTATGGCTAAGAATAGTCAGTAAATATGTTTGATTGACTATTCATAGACTTTGTAGACCCATTGCATATATAAAATCTTCATGCCAAACATCTTAAATTTGATTCATTTACCATTTGCCCAGTGAAAAGGAAGTTCTTGCAATTACAAAAGTGAACTCTGAAAATAAAAAAGCATAAACTGGAAGATGGAGAACATAAAATTACTTCATTAGCTACAAGATAAATGCAGATAAATGAATACAATATGTCAGTAATTAGGCTGTTGTTGTATTTCCCTGATGTGAGTTGTAGGATATCAGGCCTGTCACCTTATTCAATTACTGAAAAGCCTTTCAAGTGTGGACACTTGTTACTTTCAGGAGTATTGGAATGATCTACTGTAGAGAAGCTACTACAAATTACATTAAAAAAGAAAAAGGTGACTGTTTTTGATGATGGGTGACTAGAGGTAGCCGGGAAGAGCTGCTCTAACTGAGAGAAACCAGATCATCAAGTGGACCAGCGCACTCCAGACAGATCTTTGGGAAGAAGACTTTTAAAGTGGAAACAGGGAGGACACATCCTGGGCTGGAAGGGGAGGAAGCTGGGAATTCTGTGTGGGGTTTCTGAATACCAGGACTCCTTCCTTGCCCTTAGTGGCCCCTAGGGAAGGGGTGAGTGAAACAGACATGGAGCATCCCACACTTGCCATAGACCTCCATAATCCTAGCTCTGGAAAAACCTATGACCCTCACAGACATTTGAGTTGGCAGGTAGAACTGCCTGTAGACTGGGCAGAGAGAGAACTTCAGTCCTGCATAGAGCACAGAGGGTTTGGAGTGGGAGAGGCTGCAGTGGAGCATGGCCAGGGGCACCAGCCCTCAAGGCTCACAATATTCCTGTAGGCGGCTTTAGCGTCTGTGAGCTGCGGGACCTGGAGAAAGCCAGGCTGTCTTGCCTGAATAAGGGGCCAGTCTGATCTGAAAGCCCCTCTGTCTCCCTGTGTCAATTTCTGACTGCATCTGCTTGTGTGCAGCCTCAGTTGTCCCACCAAAATACTTGTCAGCAGCCACCACCATCGCTCTTTTACCAGCAGCTCCTGCCTTCCCATTGGACTACTTTTGCAGATGGACCACTACTGGTGTGCCTCCACTCACAGCGTTCCCCCACCTGAATGCAGTCACCCTCAGCCTACCCTGATCACCACTCTGAAAGGCATGTGTGACTGGATTTCCACTGACTTGTTGGTGTGCACTTGTACATGGCCTCCCACCGCCACACAGCTGATGCACACTCATCCTTGGCACCCACCACAGTACACTTCCTCGCAGCCCCTCTGACACCTTGCCACAGCACTTTTGCCAGCAGTCCCCACTGAAATGTTGTTGCCAGCAGACTGAGAACATCTGAGATGTCTAAAACAGCAGGTGCTTTACCTCAAAGAGTCAGAGAAGAAAGCTGTGGGCCTGGTCCCAGCCCCCTAGGTTAGAGCACACAGCATGGGAGTACTTGAGCTGAGCCTTGTCCCACTGAAAGTATCTAGAAATGTAGCCAATTAACTAAACCCAACTAATACCACAAGCAAACCTCAAGAACATAAAAAGATATAAAAACAAAAAGCCCCATCCTAGTAACAGCGACTTCAAGTTTAAAGGAAGGTAGGCCCACACAGATGAGAAGGAACAGTGCAAGAATACTGGCAACTCTAAAAGCCAGAATGTCTTCTTACTTCCAAACAACTGCACTAGATCCCCACCAATAGTTCTTAACCAGATTGAAATTACTGAAATGATAGACATAGAAGTCAAAATCTTGGCAGTAAGGAAACTTAATAAGATAGGAGAGAAGGTTAAAATTCAATCCAAGGAAAGCAGTATAATGAAGCAAGAGTTGAAAGATGACATAGCCATATTAAGAAGAACCAAAATTAATTTCTGGAAATGAAAAATGTATTGTAGAAATTCATAATGCAATTGGAAACATTAATGATAGAAGGGACCAAGCTGAGGAAAGAATCTCAATGCTCAAAGGTTGCACCTTTGAATCAATGAGGGAGACAAAAATGAAGAAAAGATGAAAACTGAACAAAACTTCTGAGAAGTATGGAGTTATGCATAGAGATCAACTCTGTGGCTCACTGGCATTTCTTAAAGAGATAGAGAGAGAACAAATAATTTGGAGAACATATTTGACAATATTGTCAACACAAATTTCCTCAACTTCACCAAAGAGGTTGATATGCAAATGCAGGAAATACAGAAAACCCTGTGGGATATTATAAAAGGTGGCTATCCACAAGACTCATAGTCATCGGATTCTCCAAGGTCAATGTAATAGAAAAAAATCTTAAAAGCAGCTAGAAAGAAAGGGTAGGCCATGTACAAAAGGAACTTCATCAAGCTAACAGTGGACCTTTCAGCAGAAATCTTATAAGCCAGAAGATAAGGGGGCATATATAAAGCATCCTTAAAGAAAAGAAATTCAAATCAAAAATGTCATATTCAGTCAAAGTAAACTTCACAAATGAAGGTTATAAAAGTCCTTTTCATATAAGCAAATACTAAGGAAATATGTTAACACCAGACATGCCTTACAAGAGGTTATTAAGGGAGTGCTAAACATGCAAATAAAAGACCAATACCTGCCACCACAAAAACACACTTATGTATATAGAACACTGACACTATAAAACAACTATACAATCAGATCTACCAAACAACCAGCTAACAACACGATGACAGGATGAAACCTTCACATATCAATATTGACCTTGAATGTAAAAGGGCTAAATGCCCCACTTGAAGGACAAGGAGTAGAAGATTAGATTGAATAAAGAAGGAAGACCCCATTGTTTGCTGTCTTCAAGAGACCCAACTTACACGCAATGACACTCAGATGTTCAAAGTAATGGGTTGAAGAAATATCTACCAAGCAAGTGGAACACAAAATAGAGCAGTGGTAGCTATTCTTATTTCAGACAAAACAGACATTAAACCAGCAATGATGAAAAGGGACAAAAAGGGCATTACATAATGATAATGAGTTCAGTTCAACAAGAATACTTAACTATCCTAAATATATAGGCACCCAACACTGGAGAATCCTGATTCATGAAACAAGTTCTTAGAGCCCTATGAAGAAACTTAGATAAACACATAATAATAGTGGGAGCCTTCAACATGTCACTGACAGTTTTAAGCCATCAAGGCTGAAAACTAAGAAACATATTCAGGACATAAACTGAATGTTTGAACCAACGGACCTAACAGACATCTACAGAATACTTCACTCAATGACAACAGAATATAGAATTCTTTTCATCTGCACACAGTGCATAGTCTAACATCAATCACATGCTCAGTCATAAAGCAATTCTTAACAAATTCAAAAAACACCTTAAGCTTACCAACCACTCTCTGAGACCACAGCACAATAAAAATAGATATCAATATAAAGAAGATCTCTCAAAACCAAACAATTACATGGACATTATGCTCCTGAATCACTTTTGGGTAAACAATGTAATTAAGGCAAGATTTAAAAACAAAAAAAAGTGAAATAAATAAAAATAAAACAAAACCCGACAGAGTCTCTTGGACAGAGCTAAAGCAGGGCTAACAGGACAATTTATAGTGTTAAACACCTACCTCAAGTACTTAGAAAAAACTCAACTTAAGAACCTAACAGCACACCTAGAAAAACCAGAAAAACAATAGTAAACCAAGCCCAAAGCTAACAGAATTTTAAAAAATTCAGATCTAAGCTGAATGAAATTGAGACACAAAAATCCATATAAAATATCAACAAAAACAAATATTGGCTCTTTGAAAGAATAAACAAGATTGATCGATTGTTAGTTAGATTAGTAAAGAAAAAAAGAGAAGACCCAAGCAAACACAATCAGAAATGACAAAGTAGACATTACCACTGACCCCACAGAAATCCTAAAAACCCTCAGAGACTATTATGAACACCTCTATGCACACAAACTAGAAAACCTAGAACAAATGGATTGATTCCGGGAAACATATAACCCTTCAAGACTGAACTAAGAAGATATTGAAATACTAAACAAACCAATAATGAGTTCAGAAATTGAATCAGTAAAAAACAAAACAAAAAATAACTATTAACCAGAAAAAGCCCTGGAGCAGACAAATTCATGGCCAAATTTTACAAGACATACAAACAAGAGCTGATACCAATCCTACTGAAATTCTTCTAAATACTAAGAAGCAGAAACTTCTCCTGAATTCATTATATCAGGCTGGCATCATTGTGATACAAAACCATGGCAGGGACACAATGGGAAAATAAAACTTTGGACCAACATCCCTGATGAACATAGATGCAAAAATCCTCAACAAAATAGTAACAAATCAAATTTTGCAGCACAACAGAAAGCTAATCCATCATGACCAAGTCAGCTTTATCCCTGGAATGCAAGTTTGGTTCAACATACACAAATCAGTAACTGTGATTCATTACATAAACAAAACTAAAAACAAAAACCACACACTCATCTCAAAAGATGTAGACAAACCTATCCATAAATTCAACAACCCTTCATGTTAAAAACCTTCAACAAATAAGACGTTGAAGTAACAAAACTCTTATTATCAAAATAATAAGAAGCATCTATGGCAAAGCCACAGCCAACATCATACTGAATAGGTAAAAGCCGTTAGTATTCCCCTTGAGAATCAGAATAAGACAAGGATGCCCACTGTCACCACTCCTATTTGACATAGTACTGCAAGTCCTATCCAAAACAGTCAAGTAGAACAAGGAATAAAATGCATCCAAATAGGAAGAGAAGAAGTCAAACTATTTTTGCAGATGATATGATTCTATACCTAGAAAAACGTATAGTCTCTGCCCAAAGTCTTCTGGAACTAATAAACAACTTAACTAAAGGTACAACTTAAGCAGCATTTCAGGATACAAAACTAATGTATAAAACTTAGTAGCATTTTCTCAGTCTTTTCTGGGCCTTGTGTGTGGAGAGCTTTCTAACCTACCAAGTGGTAGAGCTAAAAGTACAGCAGCCTTTTTGGTAGCCACATGGCAGAATGATCAGTTGCATTGCTTATTCTAAACATTGGTTCTTTTAAAAACATTTTTTTTACTCAAAGAAAGAAATAGTATAAATTATTAACAATGAACATAAATTCGGAGTGTTGATGTAGGATTAAATATCCAGATTTTATTTTCAATCTTAATCCTTAGCTTCTTGGGAGTTGCTGGGCTCCAGTGTCTCTGTGGTTTCTCCAGCTTAGCTGAGTTCCAGCTATTTTGGATCTTTTCTGCTTTTCTAAGTCATTGAGTCATTTTTACCACACAATACAATTTGCATGTAAGGCTGGGAAAACATGTATTGTTCTAAATTGGCCATTTTAAGCCATTTTAAAGAAAGTGAGTTCATAGTTGTTGCCTTTTAACTTATAGTCAAGCTTCATTCTTTCAAAGAGAAATGTGTGATTTACATTTACTTGCTATGATTTTGTAGTTAGGAGATCCTTGTGGGCATTATTCTAACTAATATGTAGACACACGGAAATTTTTGGACTTAATATTAAATGTGTGGTATCTGTGAAATTGGTTCCATCAGGTGGCTTGACTAATTTTTTTCTATAATTGTATATGGACTGCATTAAAAAAACACATTCGCCTTCATACTAGGTTGTAAAAAATTATCTTACAATGCATAAGATGTTTTTTCCGTCCTATGTTAGATTTTCTTAGCATTTCGTATTTAATGTGTTGTCAGTTTGTGATTTTTAAACCAGAATTTGGTTTAAGAAATGGTTGTAATATATGTGAGAAATAGTTTGGTGTTCACCTTATGAAAATAAAGATAGTAAGTAAGGTTTCCTGTGCACCTTATACCAGAGTTCAGTATAATACAGTACTTTCTGTTTTCAAACAGATAAATCATGATACAGTCTGTATTGCCTGTAAGATCTATCTCATAAACCACATTCTTGACAACTAAAATAAAAATTAGTAGCATTTTTATACAGCAATGACATTCAAGCTGAGAGCCAACTCAAGAAAGAAATTCTACATACAATAGTCACAGAATTTTTTTTTTAAACTAGGAATTGAGTCAACCAAGAATGGATGAAAGGTCTCTACAACAAGAACTGCAACACACTGCTACAAGAAATCAGAGATTACACAAACACATTGGGAAACATTCCATGGTCGAGGATAGGAAGACTCAATATTGTCAAAATGGCCATACCACCCAGAGCAATTTACAGATTCAATGCTATTCCTATCAAACTACCAAAGACATTTTTAACAGCATTAGAAAAAAAGTATTCTAAATTTCATGTGGACCAGAAAAGAACCAAAATAATCAAAAAAATCCTAAGCAGAAAGAACAATGCCAGAGGCATTGCACTACCTGACTTCAAACTAGACTATAAAGACATAGTAACCAAGACAGCATGACACTGGTACAAAAACAGATACACAGACCAATGGGAGAGATTAGAGAATGCAGAAATAAAGCCACATAACTACAACCATCTGATCTTTTTGATAAAGTTGACAAAAAAAGCAATAGGGGAAGGGAATTCCTATTCAATAAATGGTGTTGGGAAAACTGGCTAGCCATATGCAGAAGATTGGAAATGGACTCATTCCTTTTCCCATATAAAAAAATCAGCTCAAAACAGATTAAAGTCTTAAACATGAAACCTAAAACTATAAAAACCCTAGAAGGAAACCTAGGAAACACCATTCTAGACATAGGCCCTGGCAAATATTTCATGACAGAGACACCAAAAGCAATTGCAACAAAAACAAAAATTGGCAAATAGAGTTTAATTAAAGAGCCTCTGACTAGCAAAATTAACTATCAACAGAGTAAACAGACAACCTACAGAATGGGAGAAAATATTTGCAAACTATACATCTGACCAAGGTTTGATATCCATAATCTATAAGGAACTTTAACAAATCACCAAGTAAAGAAACCAGCAACCATATTAAAAATTGGTCAAAAGACATGAGTAGACACTTCTCAAAGAAGACATACATGTGGATTTCGAGCATATAAAAGTGTTCAGCATCATTAATCATCACAGAAATGCAAATCAAAATCACAATAGATACCACATCACATGAGACAGAATGGCTATTAAAACGTCAAAAATAACAAATGTTGGTGAGAGTTCAGAAAAAAAGGCAACACTTATAGACTGCTGGTGAAAACATAAAAAGTTTAGTCACTGTGGAAACGAGTTTGGAGATTTCTCAGAGAAGTTTCTTAAAACAGAGCCACCACTCAACCCAAGAATCCCATTGCTAGGTGTATAGCTAAAGTTATATAAATTGCCCCACCAAAAAGACACAGGCACTCATACGTTCATTGCAATGCTATTCACAATAGCAAAGACACGCAACCTACATGCTCATCAACAAGGGATTGGATAAAGAAAATGTGGTAAGTCTTAGGATACAAAATGAATGTGCAAAATTCACAAGCATTCCTATACACCAATAACAGACAAACAGAGAGCCAGATCATGAGGGAACTCCCATTCACAATTGCTTCAAAGAGAACAAAATGCCTAGGAATCCAACTTAAAAGGGACGTGAAGGATCTCTTCAAGGAGAACTACAAACCACTGCTCAATGGAATAAAAGAGGACACAAACAAATGGAAGAACATACCATGCTCATGGATAGGAAGAATCAATATTGTGAAAATAGCCATACTGCCCAGGGTAATTTATAGATTCAATGCCATCCCCATTAAGCTACCAATGACTTTCTTCACAGAATTGGAAAAAACTACTTTAAAATTCATAAGGAACCAAAAAAGAGCCTGCATTGCCAAGACAATCCTAAGCCAAAAGAACAAAGCTGGAGGCATCAAGCTACCTGACTTCAAACTATACTACAAGTCTATGGTAAGAAAAACAGCATGGTACTGGTACCAAAACAGAGATACAGATGAATGAAATAGAATAGAGCTCACAGAAATAATACCATACATCTACAACCATCTGAGTTTTTACAGAACTGACAAAAACATGAAATCAGGAAAGGAGTCCCTGTTTAATAAATGGTTCTGGGAAAACTGGCTAGCCATATGTAGAAAACTGAAACTGGATCCCTCCCTTTCATCTTATACAAACATTAATTCAAGATGGGTTAAAGACTTAAATATTAGACCTAAAACCATAAAAACCCTAGAAGAAAACCTAGGCAATACCATTCAGGACATAGGCATGGGCAAGGACTTCATGACTAAAACACCGAAAGCAATGGCAACAAAAGTCAAAATTGACAAATGGGATCTAATTAAACTAAAGAACTTATGCACAGCAAAAGAAACTACCGTCAGAGTGAACAGGCAACCTACAGAATTGGAGAACATTTTTGCAAACTACCCATCTGACAAAGGGCTAATATTCAGAATCTACAAAGAACTTACACAAATTTACAAGAAAAAAAAATCAAACAACCCCATCAAAAAGTGGGCAAAGGATAAGAACAACACTTCTCAAAAGAAGACATTTATGCAGCCAACAGATCCAAGAAATACTCATCATCACTGGCCGTCAGAGTACAGCAAATCAAAACCACAATGAGATGCCCTCTCAAACCAGTTAGAATGGTGATCATTAAAAAGTCAGGAAACAACAGGTGCTGGAGAGGATGTGGAGAAATAGGAACGCTTTTACAGTGTTGATGGGACTGTAAACTAGTTCAATCATTGTGGAAGACAGTGTGGAGATTCCTCAAGGATCTAGAACTAGAAATACCATTAGACCCAGCCATCCCATTACTGGGCATATACCCAAAGGATTATAAATCATGCTGCTATAAAGATACATGCCCATGTATGTTTATTGCAGCACTATTCTAAATAGCAAAGACTTGGAACCAACCCAAATGTCCATCAATGATAGACTGGATTGAGAAAATGTGGCACATATACATCATGGAATACTATGCAGCCATAAAAAAGGATGAGTTCATGCCTTTTGTAGGGAGATGGATGAAGCTAGAAGTCATCATTCTGAGCATACTATGGCAAGGGCAGGAAACCAAACACCACATGTTCTCACTCATAGGTGGGAATTGAACAATGAGAACCCTTGGACACAGGGTGGGGAACATCACACACCAGGGCCTGTCGTGGGGTGGGGTAGGGGGAGGGATAGCATTAGGAGATATACCTAATGTAAATGATGAGTTAACGGGTGCAGCACACCAACATGGCACATGTGTACATATGTAACAAACCTGCACATTGTGCACGTGTACCATAGAACTTAGAGTATAATAATAAGAAAAAGGAAAAGAAAGAAAATGTGGTACATTGCCATAAAAAATATGAAATAATGTCCTTTGCATCAACGTGGATGCAGCTGGAGGCCATTATTCTAAGCGAATTAAAACAGGAACATAAAACCAAATACCGCATGTTCTCACTTACAAGTGGGAGCTAAATACTGAGTACACATGGACATAACGACAGGAACGATAAACACTTGGGCTTACGTGAAGAGGGAGGGTAGGAGGAGGATGAGGGTCAAAACATTACCTATTGGGTACTATACTCATTTGTAAACCAAACCCCAGTGACTCTCAATTTACCCTTGTAACAATACTGCACATTTACTCCCTGAAGCTAGAATAAAAGCTGAGAAAAGTAAAAAAAAAAGACAAATGCAGAATTACATGAAAGATTTTTGTCTCTCACTAATTTTAAGAATTTTAAAAGTATTTAAACTAAGCACTATTTTAGACATGATGAATTTTGTTCAATGTTTTCATAAGGAAAGGTTTCATACAATACAAAAACACATTATTTTTACATAAACCATGATTTCCTCAAAATGAATATGAATCCTATTATATTTTAGTTGTAAAGGCACAGAAAATTTATGCTTTTCACCTATTTCACTTAAAATAGTGCTTTAAGATTATATCACACTGAATAGTGCGTCATATCTGTTACATGTCATAACAATGTGTGGAAGACACATTGAACAATAGAACAAGATGTTGCTGCTTCAGGCTAAAGGTATGCAATATACTTTAAATGACTGTATATTCCAAGATAATGGATTCCATGGATAGGGTAACTTAAATTCCAATGTGCCATTTCTGTTAGGTTTAAAAGATTTCTGGCAAAATTTATACAGAAGTCAAGCAGACCAGAGCCCTCAAATTAATGAAACATAACACACTGAGTGTGTTATTTAAAAAACTAATTAATACATGCACTATGAAACTTAGATGTTATTACATAATGCAGGGAGAGAAAAGAAACTGCAAGCAGCAAGAGCAGGGGCTAAGCAATGCTCTAGTCGTCTTTAGCTCTCATGTGATTGACAGCATCTATGTGATTGACATGGACTTTGAGTTTCTGAGTTTAATGTGAGTCAGGGGATACAACTTAAACCCACTCAAAGGGTAAGACATTAAAATAACATGTTTTAAAAATAAACAAAAATACAACCTACATATTTCTGACATTGCAAGGGGCTATAGTCTCAAAACAAAATGGTCAAAAATAAATGATTCCAAAAACTGAAAGAGGATACAAGGGGCATCAGAAGATAATGGAGTTGGCTGTTACAAAGAATCTTCAACATACGGCAGACCAAATGTGACAAGGTTTCTCTGTCTGTGCCATGTCAGTGCAGAGGCAGGCAGGTGGCTTTTGTGATGTCGGTGGCTCTGCTCCATGAGGTCACTCAGGCGGGCAGGAGGCACAACCACCCTCAGCACATATCTTCCCTCCTTCCTCACAGTCACTGCCCCCATGTCCATTCCTCAGCAGCATGAACTGGAACTGAGTGAAGAGAAATGTTTTCTCCTTAAAGATTGAAGAAAATGCATGCTTTTCATTAGTGACAAATGTTATTTTGCCTTAAGCACACAATTGAGAAATTTTTCATTTAGTGCTTCTGCTGGTAAACCCACATTTGTTTGTTTGTTTTCATCTGAAAATGTATTTACATGATTCTTGAAAATAATTTTTTGACTATCAAATTATATTTGTGACAGCGTATTTGAAATTGCTAGCTACCATTCGATAATTACTGATAAAAAGTTATTTGAAAAAAAAAAAGAAACCAGTACTCTATGATTCTAGCTCTTCTCCTTTGAAAGAAAGACGTCTTTTTTTTATTCCTACAGATGCCTTTTAATCTCTTCGATTGGCCTTACTTTTTGTACAATTTAATGTATTAAGTTTTATGTATGATTTATGATACATTTGTTTATTTTCATTATCACAAAATAAAAAAACCTGAGAGGTTGCTATGTTGAAGCCTAACACTAGATGGCAAAAAAGTTCCACGAAAGAGACCGCACCGTGCTTATAGAAATACGGGGAATGTAAGGGTGACAGTGTCCTATTCTCAACAGGGAGCCCCCAAGTTTGGAATGGGATCTCATGTGTGACTTGGAGCACTTGGGAGGAGCTGTCCGTGTGCTGAGGTGAGAGGAAACCCACTCTGTTTTCTGTGCTCTGAAACTGGAGGCAGGGCTTTGCCCCCTCACTGCCTTGGCTGTGTCCATCTGCTATGAACCAAATTGTGTTCCCAAATTCATATTGGAGCTCTAATCCCCAAAGTGGCTGTAGGAAGCAATTGAGGTTATAAGAAGGTAATTGAGGTTAACTGGGGCCATAAGGGTGAGGTCCTGATCCAGTAGGATTAGTGTTCTTAGAAGAACAGAACCAGAGAGCTCTCCTTTTTTTAGTCTCTCTCTAACCTTCACTCTGCCCCACTTGCCTGATTATGGAAAGGCCATGTGAAAGCATGATAAGAAGGTGGTATCTGCAAATAAGGAAGAATATCCTTAGCAGAAAGTAAACCCTGCTAGACCTTGATCTTGGAGTTTTGAGCACTAGAAATGTGAACATAAACGTCTATGGTTTAAGCTGTTCTGCCCAGAGTACTTTGGTGTGGCAGCGCAAGAATATTAGTCTATTGTCCCCATCCTATCTTAGCAGGATCAGCCTCAGGAGGCCCTTATGGACATGGCGACCCAGATTTGCTCCTCTTACTCCTGCTGTTCAGACTCTTTTGTGAGGAGAGAGGCCAGCAGCGCTTGAGCCATGAAAGCTGGGCAGAGACATCCCACATAACTCCAGTCAGAGGGGAGGCTGCCAATTGGTCCGTGGGGTGGATATGTCCTGTGACCATGCAGCCACTGAGCCATGTGCACTGCCCTGTCTGACAGAGTCCATCAGGGAGTGACTCTCCAAGCTGTGTTCTGGGATGAAGCATTCCTCCACTTGGTGTCCAGACCCACTAACCATCTCCTCTGCACTTGCGGCTCTGTGTTCTCCAGACCCCCAGGTCACTGCATGTCCCCATCAATGGGCCAGTCACTGCTCGGACCAGTATGAACACATTGGTGGGTCCTGGACTTCCTGACCCTCAAGCTCTATAGGGGGAAAGGGGACATGAGGTGCACCCATTGGTGCTTTTTAAATGTTCATGGTCAAGTCATCCAATTTAAAATCATACATTATATCTACAAAATTAAATCAATTTCTCTATAAATATACATACTATTTTGATTTATACTATAGATACATTGCATATACACATATATCCATATAATTGATATCTATTATATGCATTTATTAAAGTTTACATAATACATACATATATGTTATTCGCTGAACAAGTACTCCATTTATTTCCAAGAAGAGCAGAGTCTGGCTGAGTGAAGCCTCTGGGGACATTTGCTGACCATTCCATTTTTGTTCTAGCAGGATCCTTGGCCCATGAGGACCTATGAGGACAGAGATTAGGACAGCTGGCCCTGGGATCTCAAGCTTCGCATTAAGGCCCTCGTCTTTGAGGCTTTTACTCTGACTGTGACCTCTGGGCTTTGTGTAGCATCTGTAGATGTGTGAGCAGTTTTCGTCCATGAAGATCCTGCCAGGCAGACCTGTGATCAGGGCCTGTGGTTCTTCTTAGGTCCTCAGCCCCATGGTTCAGGAGACCGTCTGCTTCTTCCACAGCCCAGGGCCAGAGACTGGCAGCTCTTGGACAATGCAAGCTTGACCTCAGTCCTGGCTTGAGGATCCTATTCTAAATCTCTTTTCTCCTGTTCCTGTACCTGAATGCCTTCCCTGGCCCTAAATGCACAAGACACATTTCCAGAACTGTGAAATCTAACATTGTCATCTGGAAGATTAGCAATCTGACTCTCCTGTCATCCTCAGGGCCTGACTTGTTTAGGAAAAGAATTTAGCAATCTCTCTCCTACTTGTACGTCCTTTTATAGGCTCTCTGCAGGAAAAAAATATGGCTCTTTTTGCCCGACTCTGCAGACAGTCAGACCTTACGATTGTCTTCCCTTGTTCCCTAAAAGTCGCTGTTATTCTGTTCATTTTCAAGGTTCACTGATTTCATATTGTTCGAACACAACATGTTTTGCAATCAATTTGTACAGTTAACACAATTATCACAGTGGTCCTCAGGTGATGTACATTCTCAGCTTAGAAGATAACAGGATTGAGAGAAGAAAATAAAGACAGGCATAAGAAATTATAAAAGTATTATTTGGGAACTGATAAGCGTCCATGAAATTTTCACAGTTCATGTTCCTATGCTGCAGCTCCAGCTGGTCCCTCTGTTCAGGGTCCCTGACTTCCTGCAATACTTTGAGACTTTTACTCTGGCTGTGGGCTCTGGGCTTTGTGTAACATCTGTAGACATGTAAGCAGTTTTCATCCATGACGCCCCTGTCAGGCAGACCCGTGAGCAGGGCCTGTGGTTCTTCCTAGGTCCTCAGCCCCAGGGTTCAGGAGAGCAACTGCTTCTTCCACAGCCCAGGGAAAGAGACAGGCAACTCTTGGGCAATGCAAGCTTGACCTCAGTCCTAGCTTGAGAACCCTATTTTAAATCTCCTTTCTCCTATTCCTGTACCTGAATGCCTTCCCTGGCCCCAAATGCAGAGGACACATTCCCACAGCTGTGAAATCTAACATTGTCATCTGGAAGATTAGAAATCTGACTCTCTTGTCATCCTCATGGCCTGGCTTGTTCCAACCTCCACCAGGTATAAAAGCCCATATGATCTCTCCCCACCCCATATAATTTAACTTAGACACATAGTGAAATTTACATGTTGCAAAGCTGTTGGTCCTTACATAGCAGCTATTTTCCCCTCCCTTGATGTATAGCACACCAGCTCTGTTCCACTATGTAAGAAAAGGCCAATGAGTTTCTCCCAGCATAGGACAAGACCAGGGATTAAGGGCACACGGGATCACCTCCACAATGAGATTAAGGAGAGTGAAGGGTGAGCCAGGCATTTTAGAAAGATTACAACGTCTCATGAAAGGAGTAAGGTGAAGACCATTTTTTCCTTCAACACATGTGAGTGGACATAATTCTTAGAGTCACTGCAGCCATTTTGAGATCATGAGGCATCAAGCCCAAGACTAAAAATCTAAAGTGAGGAAAGTGCAAACCAGAAATGCAGAAAGAGCCTGGATACTTTCTGCTGTTAACAATACAGCTTTCGTGCTACATCAATGCTAAATGCTCCAACTTTTGGATACTTTACCTTTGCTTAAGCCATTACTATAGTTTCTTTGAGTTTCTTCTAAAATTATTTTAATTTATCCCAAAAAGATACTTAAGGAAAAGAGCCTGGGTTGGCCATAGACCTTATATTTAGGAAAAGAAATGTGTTATCCTACTTGTGTGTGCATTGTGGGAGCTTGAGGCATGAAAGACAGGAGTCATAATAAGCAATGGGGCTCCCTGACATCTTGGTCTCGCCAATTACATGGCTGGAGAAACCCTAAGCACTCGGAAGAGGTTATAAATTCTGTTCCGTTCATGTCTCCATCTCCATTTCTCTTTTGATGTCCTGAGAATTGAACAGTTCCTTGTGCTTCTTAATTCTATCCCCCTTCAAGATAATAAAAACAGAATTGTGGTTAAGAAACAGACAGAAAATTTGGAGAAGACATAGTCTCTGGGGTTTGTATGCATCTCCTCAACACCAAAATGGTGTTTCAAATTTCCGCTCCTTCTTACTGCTTTTGTTTTGCTTGTTCATATATTTATTTTTCATAAATAATAACTGTATTAAAATATTCAGAATTTATGATCTTTGATAGATCAGGACTCATGCATCGGTTTCATTTTTTAATGTCAATAATTATAATACAAACAGAAGTATTTGCTTAATTTAGGTTAAAATTAATTTGTCAAAAATATGTGGAGACGTGCATACCTTTTAAAATTTGGGGAGGCCTCTGGGTAGCAATAATTTGAAACCTTAAGGACTCCATTTGGCTAAAGGTAAAATGATAGACTCTGTTAATTCTTTAGTGTGTTTGTATCTTGTTTCTATTGGAAATAGCCCCCAAACCCAAAGTAATGAGGCTCCACTGAGACCAAATATTTTAACATCGTCCTCCCTCAAGTGTTTTGAAGTTTTCACAGTGGCTACGGCCATCCCATCGGAGCGTCATGCAGTCATGCAGGTGAGCTTAGTGATGTTTTTTGTCCTCAAAATGGACATTTGAAAAATTTGAAAGCAGTCTGAAAATGTAGAGCGCTTGTGGGTGTCATTGTCACTGCCGAAATGGTCAGAATTCCTCTTACCACTCAGAATGGTTTTGGCCTGCAAGGCCACCAAACTAGAACTGAACTGAGCTCTAAGGTCCTGGGAAACTGTCCAGCAGGAAGAGCTGCCTATTCAAGAGCTTTGGAGGGCTCTAGGGCACAGACTTGTCTCTTTCAACACATGCACTCCTGAACCAACTCAACCTGGTTACCCTCACTACCCTGTGTTCCACATCTGAAAAAAAAGAAGGGGGGAGGGTACTGAGCTTAATGAGCTTGAGAACCCTTAGGCTGCCTGACGTGCAGGAGCTGGAGTCACACCTGGATGGCAAGAGATGTAGAAGCCCAGCTGAGAAGGAAATCAATGGGAACTGGGAGAGAAAGGGAAACACACAAAGTTCTTTTTTGGATAATGGAGATCTCCAAGCTGTTATTGAAGGTCATATTTCTCCATTGTCTTCCCACTCCACCACCAATGAGGAGGTGAATTGATTTCTGTTCAAATATGCTTTTCGAAAGGAGAAAAAATTGAGAATCTTGATGACATTCACCTGATACCCAGAGGATCCTCATGTTCCACTTCAAAAACCTGAAGACCAGATAATCAGCAGACATGACCTCTGCACATCTTTTTCCAATTCATTAAATTATTGAGCTGCCACTGTGCTATGTGGTTACCCAAGTTACCTGAGGAATGAAGAACAAGATGGCACAGTCACAGCTCTCAGGGAGAGGGAAGAGGAGGAAGGAGGAAGCAGGAACACAAGCAGTTAGTTATAATAATGCGAAGGGGAACAAGAGGCATACACACCGCCAGGCATTTTTAGGGGGCTCAGAAAAGGGGCCTCTTCCCAGTCCTTACGAACCAGCAGGCCTATCTGTTGGATATTTCCTTCTTTCCTGTTGTGAGAGGATTCCTGACACCAAGAAGGAGCACCAAATTTACCAGACATTCCAGGTGGCGATTCAATTTTGTAATCAAACCTTTCAGATGTAAAGCTCAGAATCACCAGATTCTCCTTTCAGATTCCTCCCCGTGTCTCTGCATCCTTCTCAGGGTCGGAAGAAGGAAGCCTTTCCAGTGAATGCTTCTCTGTAGTATTTTCTCTGTATGCAATAGACAAGTTTGAGGAAATCCTGTTTTCCAGTGGAGAAGTGAAATTCCTTTCAGCTGGAGACAGTTTCTTCAGCTGGTCCTTTTACTTTATTTTATTTAGGCCTCTGTGGTAGTGCAAGAAAGGGTACATGCAAAACATGAAGAGAATCTAGAAGAAACAATATTTCTTGGTTATACTTACAGTTAATGGAAACATCTCTTTGCAGAAATGAGAATAATTCTCTTTAGTTTTAAACATACACAATACTGTCAACAAATTGGATTGTTTTTTTTTCTTCAACTTTTATTTTAGGTATCAGAGATTACCTGTGCAGTTTTGTTATGTGGGTATATTGTGTGATACTGAGATTTGGGGTAAAAATTATCCCTTCACCCAGGTAGTGAACACAAAATACAGTAAGTCATTTTTCAATCTTCACTCCCTCCTTCCCCTCTCCCCTGCTAGTATTCCCCAGTGTCTATCGTTCCCATCTTTATGGGTACTCAATGTTTAGCTCCCACTTATAAGTGAGAACATGTGGTATTTGGTTTTCTGTTCCTGTGTTACTTCGCTTTAGAAAATGGCCTCCAACTTCATTCATGTTGCTGCAAAGGACATGATTTCATTATTGTTGTGACTGTGTAGTAATCCATGGTGTGTACATACTGTATTTTATTTATCCACTCCACAATTCATGGTCATCTAGGTTGATTCCATGTCTTTGCTATTGTGAATAGTGTAGCAATGAACCTACAAGTGCATGTGTCTTTTTTTATAGAAGAATTTATTTTCCTTTAGGTGTATTCCTTGTAACAGGATTGCTGGATTGAATGGTAATTGGGTTTTAAGTTATTTGAGAAATATCCAAACTGCTTTCCACAGTGACTGATCTAATTTACATTTACATCAACAGTTTATAAGTGTTTATTTCTCTTTACAACCTTGCAGCATCTGGTTGTTTTTTTTGTTTTGTTTTGTTTTTTTTTTTTTGTTTTTGTTTTTTGTTTGTCTTTTTTTGTTTTTGTTTCTTTACTTTTTAGTTATAGGCATTCTTACTGGTATGAGTCAGTATCTCATAGTGGTTTTGATTTACATATCTCTAAAAATTAGTGATGCTGCCACTTTTTGATATGTTTGTTGGCTGCTCGTCTATTTTTTGACAAGTGTCTGTTCATTTCCTTTGCCTACTTTTTAAAGGGCTTATTTTGTTTTGCTTGTTGAATTCAGTTTTTTTGTTCTAAGATTCTAGCTAATAGATTTTTGCAGGATGTGTAGTTTGCAAATATTTGTTTTTCCATTATATAGTTTGTTTACTCTGCTGATAGTTTTCTTTCTTTCTTTCTTTCTTTCTTTTTTTTTCTTTTTCCTGTGCAGAAGAGGCTCTTTAGTTTAATTAGGTCCCATTTGTCTTTTTTTTCTTTTCTCGTTTGCAACTCTGACCTGATCTTTTCTCTAGGTGCCTTTAAGATTTTTTCATTAACATTGACTTGGACAGTCTGGTGACTATACGCCTTGGTGATATTCATTTTGTATAGTAACTGGCAGTTATTCTCTGTGTTTCTTATAACTCGATATCTACTTCTCTAGGAAGATTTGGGAAATTTTCTTGCATTATTATTATTATTGAGATGGAGTCTTGATCTGTCGCCTAGACTGGAGTACAGTGGCCTGGTCTCAGCTCACTTCCACCTCTGCCTCCTGGGTTCAAGCGATTCTCCTGCCTCAGCCTCCCAAGTAGCTGGGATTACAGGCATGCACCACCATGCACAGCTAATTTTTGGAGTTTTAGTAGAGACGGGGTTTCACCATATTGGTCAGGCTGCTCTCAAATTTCTGACCTCAGGTGATCCACCCGCCTTGGCCTCCCAATGTTATAGGATTACAGGCATGAGCCACTGCTGGGCCATTTTCTTGAATTATTCCCTCAAATATATTTTTCAGATTGTTTTCATATTCTCTTTTTTTCCTCAGAAATGCCAATACTTAGTAGGTTTGGGTGCGTTACATAGTCCCATATTTCTCTGATACTTAGTTCGTTGTTTAAAAAATTATTTTCCTTCTTATTTTTGTCTGACTGCTTAGTTCAAGTGACCAGTCTTCAAACGACTCTGAAATTTTTTCTTCTGCTTGGTCCAGTCTATTGATAAAGCTTTCAGTTGTATACTTAGATTTCTTAAGTATTTCAATTCCAGTACCTCTGGTTGATTTCATTTTCAGATGTTTATGTCTTCCTTTGTTTTCTGGAAGTTTTTTTGTGTTGATTTTCACCCTCATCTTTGATGTCACTGAACTTTCTTGAAATCCATGCTTTGAATTCTTTGTCATTTTTGAGTTTCCATTTTGGTTAGGGACCACTGCTGGAGAGCTATTGTAATCCTTGTGATCTATGTAAGGTGTAGGCTTCAAATATGTGTCTGAGTTTTATCTGGATTCAGGAAATACCTCTGTGTGTATGGGCAGTGGCTTGGTAGGAGATAGAGACTGTCTTTCCTAGATATGAGATGGGTAGACTGGCAACTGTTCAGAATAATATCCCTACCCATGGCTAAAAAGGAAAAGAGGAAAGTGGCATTAATGGTGCACAGTAGGGACATGCACTAAGTAGCAGCTGCCCTCGCTTAGGAGAGAGGATTCAGTGACGTGGCCTTTCCCCAGAGCCTCCCTTTCACCTGCTCTCCAGAAAGCCAGGCTCCAAAGGAACTGCTCCCAAGCCCCCAGAAACATGCTGGTAGGGAGCGCAGCTCAGAGCATTGCATAGTGGGTATGGTCTTGGTCGTCTTACTCTGGAGACAAGTGATCACGGGAGCTTACACTGTTCCAGGGCTTTAGGCTTATCCTAATCCAAGCTCCTATACTTGGAGGAAGAAACAGATTTTTATTAAAGTAATCAAATCTGGCATCAATGATCAACCTGTTATGCTGATGAACTATGGAAAATAATACCCAATGGCAGAAAAGTAGTATATGAGGATCCACAAACTAAGAATAAAGTGCAGCCTGTTTAGCCCCTACATATTAAAGAGACCTATAGCTTTGAATATTGGTGTATCTGTGAGTGATGCAGCCATTAAGGAATTATGGTATCGTCTTTGTGCACTGGCAGGGAATTGCTTGACCTTATGCTGGTACTAACAGTGGCTAAGGGCATTACAAAATGCTTTTCAATAGAATAAAATGCTACTGATTAAATCTTTCTTTTCATTTCAAAAAAGAAAAGAATTTCACATTGACAGAAATGTTAGTACAGGACAAAGGATTTTTACATCTACTGAATCGATTTGAGAGTAACGTGAAAACCTGATACTGCCAGCATCTAAGACTTTATTATGCATTCCCTATAACAATGACACTCTCCTACATACTTCCAATACAACCAAAGAATACATTATTGGATCTAGTCCTTAGGTTCATTTTAAACATTGTCAATTGTCTCCAAAATCTCTTTTGTAACTATAGGCCCTTTAGAGAGAAATACTTTCCCTTCACGCAAATCTGCACTGCCCTCGTCTGACCCGGGACCTTGGGGACACTGCCCTTGTGCTGATTACTGAGATGGGCCAGCCCTGCAGCTGTGCCCAGCCTGCCCCATCCCCTGCTGATTTGCATGTTCCCAGAGCACAGCGACTTGCCCTGAAGACTTATTAATAGGCAGGTCACACCCTGTGCAGGAGTCAGTCCCAGTCAGAACACAGCATGGACATGAGGGTCCTCGCTCAGCTCCTGGGGCTCCTGTTGCTCTGGCTCCCAGGTAAGGAAGGAGAACACTAAGAATTTACTCAGCCCAGTGTGTTCAGTACAGCCTGGCTCTTGATGGAAGCCTTCCTATAATACGATTAATAGTATGAATATTTGTGTTTATATTTCCAATCTCAGGTGCCAGATGTGACATCCAGATGACCCAGTCTCCATCCTCCCTGTCTGCATCTGTAGGAGACAGAGTCACCATCACTTGCAGAGCCAGTCAGGGTATTAGCAACTATTTAAATTGGTATCAGCAGAAACCAGGGAAAGCCCCTAAGCTCCTGATCTATAGGGCATCCAATTTGGAAACAGGGGTCCCATCAAGGTTCAGTGGAAGTGGTTCTGGGACAGATTTTACACTCACCATCAGCAGCCTGCAGCCTGAAGATATCGCAACATATTACTGTCAAAAACATGATAATTCCCCTCCCACAGTGTTACAAGCCCAAACACAAACCACCAAGGGAAACAGAAGTGTGAGGCTCAGCTGCCCCAGCTGCTCCTTGTGGTATCTTCCCCTGCTGACAGCTTTTTTCCAATTAGGCCAGGATTTGGAGGTTTTGGTATAAAAGGCCAGGAAGGCTCCCCTCCATTCTAACTCTATTTTTTTCTCCTTCAGCCCCTGCAGCACAGACGTGACACTGTCCCTCCTGATTTAATAAAGAACAGCAATTATGATACCTGAGGAATCGCAGTTATTGCATCTATCCAGGTCATACATCACAAGAGAAACTACTCAAGAGAAATGACCGATTTCAAGAAGAATTTGTTTTATTTCCTTTTTTAACTTTCAAAGTCATAGAATTTATTTATTATTTATAATATTTTATTTTAGTTTCAGTGGTACATGCGCGGGTTTGTTCTATAGATACAATGCATGTTGTGGGGGTTTGGAGTTTAAATTGTTCTATCACCCAGGTAGTAAACATAGTACCCAATAGGTAGTTTTTCGATCCTTACTCTCCTCTTACCCTCCAGTCTCAAGTAGGCTCTGGTGTTCATTGGTTCCTTTTTTGTGTCCATAGGTACTCAGCGTTTTGCTCCCACTTATAAGTGAGAACACCTGGTGTGTGGTTTTCTGTTCCTGCATTTGTTCACTTAGGATAATGGTCTCCAGCTCCATCCACGTTGCTGCAAAAGACATTATATCATTGTTTTTTAATGGCTGCATAGTATTCCATGGTATATATGTGTCACATTTTCTTTATCCAGTCTACCATTGATGAGCACTTAGTCTGATGGCATGTCTTTGGTATTGTGAATAGTGCTGCAATGAACATACATGTGCATGTGTCTTTACGGTAGAATGATTTATATTCCTTTTGCTATATATAGAAAAGGATCCCTAAAAATGGGATTGCTCAATGGGATGGTAGTTCTGATTTAAGTTCTTTGAGAAATTGCCAAATTGTTTTCCACAGTGGCTGAACTAATTTATACTCCACCCAAAAGGGAATATATAAGCATTACATTTTCTCTGTAGCCTTGCTAGTATCTGTTATTTTTTTGACTTTTTAATAATAACCATCTTGACAGAATTAGATTTGAAAATACAAGACAGGAGATTTGGTAGTCAGGAAGCTGACACTGGAAACAGGGAAATGTCTATTGGTCTGCCAGAAGCCAGAGTTCATTTGTTCCTAAACGCATGGGCTGTCTAACCATGTGATCTTCTGCTCTGTCTAAGAAGTTCAGATACAACGGTGCTGGTGCTGTCTGTTGACAGAACATCTCTCTAGGTGACTCTCCAGTCTTCACCTCAGTCTGCTTGCCTGCCTGCAGGTGTCAGTGCTCAATCACCCTCTTCATACTTTGAAATACAATGGGCGGGCTCCTCTGAGTAACTATAGGAGAAACCATAGAAAGATAAAGGGGCTTTGGGAAATGTACTTCTAGAAATGACAGTGAATATGGAGAATTGGGAGCTGACAGCCAAGTGAGGTCAATATTTTCCCAAATCTCAGAATTTTCCTGCTATGACTTGGCTTCAGGATACATTTGCTTGTGCTTCTACATAATATTAGCAAGTCTAGGATCATTGCAAGCACACTTCATTCAGTCATAAAGTAAACAGAAAAATGAGAACATTGCTTAGAATACACAGAATTTATTTGAGAAATGAAAAAACTTTTCTGGCTGAACAAACAAGAATATCTACGCATGCATAGAATATATTGTTTCCTTAGCATGAAAGCACTTTGCTGCTCAAAATTTGTCCAGATGCTAGCCAGACATGAGGTTCAGCAGTGTGAATAGAGGTTCTCAAAACTGTTGAGGAGAAGAGAGCCTGACTTTGGGTTCATGAAAGTGTTATACAGAAACAAGTGGTGTGTCTATAAGAGAATCACTCAAGGCATTGTCACCTGCCTGCATGGACAGCACCATTGTCTGTCTTCTCTAACTTTATCATCAACATCACTGTGATCACATTAAAAATGCAAAGTAGCAAATGCATCTTAGATATATTGCATAACAGTCTGAATTTTAATAAGCATATAGGTAATCTACAGGAGTTTTAAAGAAGCTGTGTTTTAGAAGACATTTACTTTAGACAAATGTATTTCCTCATAATAAGATCATTTACATTAAAGCTGCATGTATGAAAACACATCTAGGCCAGGTGCGGTGGCTCATGCCTGTAGTACTAGCAGTCTGGGAGGCCAAGGTCGGGAGATCACTTGAGGTCAGGAGTTCGATACCAGCCTGGCCAACAGGGCAAATCCCCATCTCTACTAAAAATACAACAATTAGTCGAGCATGGTGGTGCATGCTCATAACCTGAGCTACTCAGGAGGCTGAAGCATGAGAATCGCTTGAACGTGGGAGGCACACGTTGCAGTTAGCCTAGATCACTCCCACTGCACACTAGCCTGGGTGACAGGGCGAGACTCTGCCTCAAACAACAACAACAACAAAAATTCAGCTTTATTTGTGACTAATGCAAAATTACATTTGAAAACATTTTTAATATTCTAAAAGTTGGAAAACATCATTATTTCTCCATCAAAGATGCAAATAACTTGATAATTAAGTACAGGAAACATTTTTAGAATCTTTAAGAGTTAACAAAGTAAAAGAATAAATTAGAATTATGTGCACTTGTGTTACTGATCATTAGACTTACATTTGCCTGTTCAGCTTTGTTAGAAAATTTTCTTTACTTTTGCTACCTGCCATAGAAATGTTGTACCTTGGATAGGCTCTGCTTTGTTCCCAGATCAAACACAATGCAAAGGCTGGAGACAAGCTCAGTGCCCTGCAGCAGAGCTACCCTGCTAAGCCTTTCCTTGATCAGCAAGATAATTGTTATCATGAACATCTCTGAATACGAAAATAAATGCTTAGTGTTCTTAGCCACTGAGTTTTGAGTAATATATACATATGCACATTTTTTCCACAGGTGAGGCAAATTGCACTTTTGTGATTCAAATATAATTAATTTAATTTCTTCTAAATATCTTTCTGAATGGTTTGCTATTCATATTTATACCATCACATTTGATAAAATACATCTATGTATTTTATAGATGCGTAATGTGTAAATATGATATTAGTCAACTTTTACTCAAGTGGTCAGGTCAGAAAAGGTTGTTATCTGAGCCTGAGTGTAAAATATCCATCCTTGGTCACAGAATTGTATCTCTATGTCCTCCTGTTCCCATGATCTAGATTCAGCGAATGGCATTTGGCAGAAGACTTTTGTCTTGTGCCAGGAACAAAATAGAAACCTGTGGTCCCATTTTCTGTTTCTGTCCCAAATGTGTCTAGCTGTCTCCCTTGGTAGTTGATGGAATCAAGTTAAAATGAAGAGTTGATGAGAACTTTATCTTCCAAGCACACCTTTTCCTTACTGCTTAGGGATCTTTCCCAAGGGTCCTGAATCTGCCTCAAAGAGCAACACTCAAGTAACTCCAGCACTACAGGTGCAAGGACGACCACAACGGTACAGAAGAACAGGGACAGACTCTGACCCCTCAGGGTACCCATACCATATTGCTGAAAACAGATGATTATGCTGTCAATGCAGGAGACAATTCCTTGGGTGATCTTCTCATTAACACGCCACTTGATTATGTAAAACTCTTCCATCAACCCAAAACCAGCCCCTCTTTGTCTTAACAGTTTTAAGAGCCTGTATTCACACTCCTGAACTGCATTTTCTATAAATAAATCTGCTTCTTTTCTTCAAGCAGTTTAATTCTTTGGCTTTCCAAATCACTCTGTAGGAGGCAAGGACATAGTTTTATTAATGCTACTCCAAGTACCACTGAAGTCTGCATCCATTCTGGAATTAGAGTCAGACAATATGCATCCAACAGTCCAGACATTATCTTGGCCAACCCTGAAGTTAAGCTCTTTTAGATGAGGACACAGCTCTGATGCTTACAGAGTGTATGACATTGGTAAGGTTGCTTAACCTCCCTTTGCCTCAGTTTCCATATCTTTGGAACTGTGACAATGATATGATCTACCTTTAGGTCTTTTACAATTTAAACAAGGTAAAGCGTTTAGAACAGTATTCAAGACATAATATATGCTGCTATTAATTTTGTTATTACTATTATTACAATATTTAGCACTAAAATAATCATCATTATCATCATTAGACCAACTTAGCCAAGAGTTATGGGACACAACTTTAAATCTAATCCATGTATGTTTCTTTTACAAGCAGCATTAGATTTTGGGCAGACTTTATTCATTAACCAGCTTATGGTGTTTAAAATCCTAGTGATTTGGTCTTGATCTATTCTAAAATGCTCAGCCTTTGATTATACTCACCTAGATATGTCCAGTGTATTTCTTCTCACCATTCACTACCAAAATTTTACCCAATGAAAAGGCAAAAAAGGAAAAGTGAAAGGGTATGTATGAGGGTGATTTGGTAAACTGAAACATCACTTCACCTTTTTGTAAAATCATCTGCTTTCTCTGGAAAGAGTTTTCAAGTTGTGAGTATTTGATTTTTTTAACCCACATCGTACTTCTTCAAACACATTTCTTTTCAGCCATTTTCTCCAAAAGTCCCAGGCAGATTAACTGTATCCAATAAAGTATAGTCAGCCTTTCTCTGATAGCCTCTCTGTATATACTCAAAAGTTTCCAGTTCCATATAATATTATTGTTTCATTACCATTCAAATACATAATTCCAGTGAATCTTATGATAAAAAACAAAAAATTTGGAAAAGTACATATTTCTAGAAATGACTGTAGCCATGCATAAGTAGCCACACATTCCTTAACGAAAGGTCATAATCTCATATTTCCAGACATAGTGTCTGAATTGTGTACGTCCTAATACAACACCAATGGTATCTGAATCTTCTCAGTAGAAGTAGCTCAGTGCATGCTGCAGCTGTCCATTTGGTTCCTGCAATATTCCAAGTGATGGAAAATTCTATTTGTTTATCCAAACAGTTGACTCAAGAACAGCTGTTCATTTGTGGATACTACCATGTTTTAATAAATCCCATTTCTCTTTTGTTTTCTTCAGACTATTAACATTTTAGTGGTAAATGGCCATGATAGAAAACTTAGTCATTTAAAAGCTAATATTTCTTTATTCATTTGTTAAAGTCAATATTAATTAATTTATTTAATGTTCTCCATTGTGCAGTAAGCTTTAAAAGGATTAAAGCCTAGAAAGCATGAGAAAAAACAGGATCTGATAGAAAAAAATTATTTATCCAAAAGTCTGCATATGACCAAATACAAAGAGTAGTAGAAGCAGCTGTCTCAGTTAGCTTTGTCCAAGACTTCCTTCCAAAACAGATTTCATTGGTTGTATTCATTTATCACCACCAGTAATAGGACATGTGGACATTATTTAACTCCTGATATACATTGAATACACATCTCATGTGTAATACTATTGCTGAAAATAAAAAAAAAATGTGAATCTAGTCAATAGAAGACCTCAAATAAACCCACGTTAAGGGATATTCTCCAAAGTAACTGGCCAGTACACTTCAACAGTTTCAAGATCCTGAAAGACAAACAAAATTTAAAAAATTTGTCACAGTTTGGGAAACAGTAGGGAAACAATAACTGACTGTCATATACTATCTTGGATTTCACCCTGGAATGTAAAAAGGGCACTATTGGAAAAATTAGTGAAATCTGAAGGAGATTGTAAATTACTTAACTAATAGCAGTGTATCTATGTTAATTTTCTGGTATTGGTACTTACACCGTAGTTACGCTTGATGCTAACACTAGAAGAAGCTACAGGAAGAGTATATGGGAACAATTTTTACTGTATTATTTAAATTTTAAGTTTAAAAGCATTTCAAAATTAATGAAAATATATCTATAAAACTCTGAAAAATATGGATTCTAATTAAATAATTTCACAAGGGTCATCATATTTTCCACCTTTTCCTTTTTGTGTTTCTTATGTCTGTTAAAGACGATCTTGACTTTCCTCATGTAGAGTATATTTATTTATATTCTCAATCCTAGAATGTGTATAAGGCATTTTACAAATTGACTGTGTGCTCATCTAAGAATGTGAAGTCTGGGGATTACAGTTTCCTATTTGTTAAGAGTTTGGTTTCTCTTTAAACTGACGGTACGGAGTTCAAATTCTCAATTTCAAAATTACTTATTTTTGTAAATATCCCCATTCTCTTTCAATGTGGCTATTATATTCATTTAAATTCAGTTTACAAGACATCTCTGTTTATGGTGTCACAAAGAGTTTATTCAACATGAATTGCAGAACTGGAGATTTTCCAACATGAGGATGGCTGCAGAAACCAGCAGCTTGCCATCAAAGCGAGTGGACTCGAGCTGGTGTGGAACAAGATCCTTTAGTGTTTCCAGCTAACTGTGATGAACTATGCCAGAAATGGACTGTGCAAGCCCACAGTTTTGTTAGTTTAAGATGAGGGCCCTGGTTGGGGCAAGTGGTACCCCAGCTGAAAGTTACTAGTCCATTTCTGGTTTAAGAGAGTTATAGAATTGCTGAGATAATCTCTGCACAAATTCCTGGTGACTTAAAAGCTGCAAGTATGAATGACAGAGATTGAAGGAGGCGTAGTGATAAGTAAAAACACAGGGAGGTAAGAACTGATGGCATCTTGCATGCGCTTTTCAGGCCACACACAGATGGAATGGGAGAAGGTAGATTTATGAATTCCAGATACTTGAGCAAAACTTCTGCCCAAATCATGAGTGACCACTAAGCAAACATATAGGCAGCTTTTATAAATCCAACCTAAATATTAAAATTAAGAATGAAAAATTAACAGAGATATCAGTGATCAAACATCATGGTAGGGGGTTGGGGAGGGAGCAGTAGATTCTTCAGCATAGGTCCACGCAAGTTATTAAAATACATTTAACAATGCTCAGGACAATAAAATAGAATCCAGAAACACATGATCTAAAATGTGCAGTTTTAAAATAAAAACCAAATCTTCAAAGAAAAAGAGAATTGTGACCAATATTGACAGAATAAAAACAAAAGAGAAAAAGTACCTGAAAAAATATTTGAAGAAAGGATTGCAGCAACTTTTCAAAAGTAATGAAATGCATTAATGTGTAGATTAAAGAAATTCAATAGTGTCTGTTAGAATAAGCACTATGAGAGTCATAACTAAACATATCATTGTTAAAATGTTGAAAGACAAAGAGGAGAAAACTTAATGCATCAAGAAAAAACTGACTCAATATAAAAACTCAGAGAAACAATAATAAAACCATTGACTAATATTTTATTGTAACCCAGGGAGTATAGAAGATAATCAATTTCCAGGGGTAAAAAGGCAGCCAAGAATTCTATTTCTAGTGAAAATATCTTTCAACAATAAAAGAAAAGGCCAGGCACGGTGGCTCACACCTGTAATCCCAGTACTATGGGAGGCCGAGGCGGGCTGATCACGAGGTCAGGAGTTTGAGACCAGCCTGACCAACATGGTGAAACCCAGTTTCTACTAAACATACAAAAATTAGCTGGGCATACTGGTGCGCACCTGTAATTCCAGCTACTTTGGAGGCTGCGGCAGGAGAATTGCTTGTACTCGAGAGGCAGAGGTTGCAGTGAGCCGAGATGGTGGCATTGCACTCTAGCCCGAGTAAAAGAGTGAGACTCTATCTCAAAAACAAAAACAAAAACAAAAACAAAGAAAGAAAGAAAAGAAAGAAAAGAAAGAAAGAAAGAAAGAAAGAAAGAAAGAAAGAAAGAAAGAAAGAAAGAAAGAAAGAAAGAAAGAAAGAAAAGAAAGAAAGGAAGGAAGAAAGAAAGAAAGAAAAGAAAACTAAAAATAAATAACAGATATTTCTTACAAGATATTCAGGAGGAAGTTCTTCACAATTTCAGGAAATAAAAGCAGTCAGCAACTCAAGCCCAGGGGTAGGATTGAAGCCACCCTCCCCACACACACACACAAAAAGCAGCAAGAAAGAAGTTAGACAACATGAACAAAAAAGTGAAAGCAAACCAAAAAATACTCTTCTTTCAATCCATGTGAATTTTCAGCTCAGAAAACGCAATCTATTGTGATAGACACCAGAATGTCTGAATGAGTTAGCATGGTTGGGAAAGAAGGAGAAATAACTAAGATGGTGCATGAGGGAAGCATCAGGAGAATTTGGAATTTTCTAGGGTTTCATCTGGAGAGTGAATATACATAAACTTTAGTCAGTTGCACTTTTAAGTTTGGTGAGCTTTACTCTATGTGTTTTATCTCCATTAAAGAAAAAAACTTTAAAAAGACAGAAACCAGACTCTTAAATTAACATTGAAAAGAATAATCACATTTTAATAAAACTCAACTTATTAAAGAGAAGTGTAAAACGTGCCTGAGAAAGTGAGAAAAAATAAAAATCTATTAAAGAAAATGAAAGGAAACATTTAAATATGTCACTTCTGCCACTCAGGCAATATCTATCTTTATTATGGTCCTTCAAATGCAGAAGATATTTTATCTTTGCTCACAACAGAGTCCCTGCACACTCTCCTTGGCTCTTTCCACACTGCTGCACCCACCAGGGGATTTGCATACTATCCCCTAGGGAGGAACTTCCCTTGTGAGTCTGAGATAAAACTCAGCTCTACCCTTGCCTTGACTGATCAGGACTCCTCAGTTCATCTTCTCACGATGAGACTCCCTGCTCAGCTCCTGGGGCTGTTGATGCTCTGGGTCCCTGGTAAGGATGGAAGGGAGATGGAGGAGGAGAATGGAGTGGGAGGGTGAGCTCTTGGGGTCCCGCTGCCTTTCATGTGTGTTCCGTCCATGTATTAGATGTGCCTTGTCCTCCAGGATGGGGCATGTGGTGTTTAAATCAATGACAGTGAGAAAGATTCTAGAAGGAGCAGGGGCCTGTAATCTGGAGAAGACTCTGACACAGAAAAAGGTGGATGGTGTGAGATAATTTAACTGACTGCATTTTGCCTCAAAAATTTGATTCTTTGTGAAATTGGATGTTTTGGGATACAAACCAAAAATGCACTCACAAAAATAATGATTTTCATGAAAAATGTAACAGAAAACAAATAATGAAAATGCCTCGTAATGTTCGTTTATAACCTTGCACTTCTCTCTCATTACTTCAGGATCCAGTGGGGACGTTGTGATGACCCAGACTCCACTCTCCCTGCCCGTCACCCCTGGAGAGCCGGCCTCCATCTCCTGCAGGTCTAGTCAGAGCCTTCTGCATAGTAATGGAAACACCTATTTGCATTGGTACCTGCAGAAGCCAGGCCAGTCTCCACGGCTCCTTATCTATAAAGTTACCAATCGGGAATCTGGGGTCCCAGACAGGTTCAGTGGCAGTGGGTCAGGCACAGATTTCACATTGAAAATCAGCAGGGTGGAGCCTGAGGATGTTGGAGTTTATTACTGCATGCAAAATACAAAAGCTCCCCCACAGTGGTACAGCCCCGAACACAAACCTCTCTGCTGGGTGGCCCAGCTGCCCACATGTGTTGTTTGTCAGGGGAGCAGGCACCATAGAGGGCAAGACAGTAAAGAATTCAGGGGGATGAGTTGCAGGAAGCTGCTCCTGTGAGTCTTGGGGCTACACCTCAGGCCGAACCTATAGGAGAATGGTGGGGTCCAAGTGCCCACTGAGCAACCAGACATGATAATGGAGAAAACTGAATGAAAGTTCATCTAAATCCCCCTAGCCTTTCCTACATCTATTTTTCAACTAAAAAGATTCAGTGTAACGACTTTGTAATTAAGGCTACTCCATGTCAACCTAAAACTGATATGTTTTTTGGATTTTCTTTTGTTTGAGTAGTTACTGGTTACAGACACAGCCGGGTTTGTTTAGTAACATGAAAACTGTTTCTCTTCTTCCCCCCACCTTCACACTTCCACATTTTCTTAGCATATGTCTCTCTCCAGCAAAGGGGCAGGCATAGCATTTTACATCACGATTTCAGGAATTACCCATGTCAAACAATGTACATTCCTGTTTTGGGGCTACTAGGTTGACTTTGTTAAATCCACTTAAAAACAAAAGTCATGTGTCCAATGTGTTTGACCAGTCTCAGGCACAGCAGGTTGAAATAAAAGGTGAGGATTTTGAATTGCAAATCAAGGGTTTTAGAAATAAATATTTAAGTTTGGAAGAATTAGGTAGCATGCGTGCTTTATGCCACACCCAACAGAATTTTGAAAAAAATTAGATAACGCATGGCAATTTTTTGCCTGGTACAAAATAAGAATATTAAGATTTTGGACAGCAGCAGTGAAAGCAAGCATGAAGGACATGTGGCAGAGGTCATCTGTTGGTGCAAACCCAGCTCTGTTGCTCATGTTTGCTGGGGTCCCTATGCTGGTGTGGTTGGAGTTGAACTACTAACCAAGATGGAAACTTGTAAGTATTTCTTGGAAAGAATCAGGGTGTTGAATAGACCCCTGCATGCCCTTCAAGGCTGTGCCCTGATGCCACTACAAGTTCATAGGGTCGTTGTGCTTATTGTGGGGCTCTAGGAATTTAGTAACTCAACGGTTACAGACGTTCCTGTGCAAAAGTGAGGTTGGGTCATATCACCTGAGGACCTAAGGTTAGGTCATGTCACACCTTCCCAGTCAACCCAACAAGACATAGGTGAGCTTCCAAAAATTGATTTCACGTATGTCCTATATCTGGGGATCAAACGAGAGAGAATGGTCATTCAGGAGATACCTTATATCAAATTAGTTAAAATGTTAACCAGGGCTGAGCTATGGCTGGGAAGATCAGTAGGAGTTTCATGATAGGAGCCTAAGGCCTATATTTTAGACCTGCATGAAGGACAATCAGTGCAGGATTAGAAGGAAAACTCAGGAGAATGTGGGAGCTTTCACTCTACCTTTCTCATCCAATCTCCAGCGATTCTTTCTAACCCACACCTCAGCAAATGTCTCAATACGAAATCCAGCCTGGTGTTAAGAACTCAGCTCTTGCCTACTCTGTTAAAGCAGCGCCAAGAACTGCCAAACTTACGTGGATTCTCCTTCCTCATAGAGTCCCTCTGCTTGGGCCACGCCGGAACCTCCACCGACACTCACCAGTTGGCAAGTTTCATAAAATAACTCAATGAGAGAAAAACATCAGTTGACCTAAAATGGTGCATTTCTCCCATGAAATTTTAGGTAATTTGGTTCATTTTGTCTATAGTACTATGTTGTCATTATAAATATGATTTTTAAAATTTATTATTTTTTTCCTGCTTTTGTTGAATTGCTTTTATTTCTCTTCTAAGAACCACTACCTCATTCCTTTTACTTTTGCATTTTAAATTAAGTTAAAATGGGAGAATGCCAACTTTGTTATTTTATTATTAATAGAAGAAATTGATGTTGAGAACAATCAATAAAATGCACATGACATGATCACATCTATGTTGAAAATGAAGTAAAAAAATCTGAAAAAATGATGGTAATTATGTCAGAGTTTACAATATTTGATACCACATATGATTTTGTATTCCAGTAAGAAATACACAGAAATGTATGCTTTAAATATGCCACATTTAAAGAGTGCTCTAATAATATTTTTATCCAGAATGGAGACTATCAATTATGGTATTATGTAATGGTAGAAGTAATAAGCGTTTGAATTAACAAACAAAAATGCTATATTATATTTATATTTTGTGACCTATGGTTGTAGCCTTGGCCGTGTGCACATTTCTAGAGGCAGCAGGCCAATAGTGCTCACAGCAGTATCTGGCATCCAGTACCTTTTCTATCACTCATGCAAATGGTCTCAGCTAATCCAGCATGAAGCCAAAGCAGTTGAGTATTGACACTATTGCTCTGAGTCTTGTTTTGCAGACTACTTCATAATCTGTTTTTCTATTATTAAATATAAATTCTGAATATATTTGGACCGAATTGGCTTATGATACCTGCAATTAAGGAACTTCAAAGACATGTCAGGATAAACTTAATAGGACAAATTAAGATATTTTGTTAATGTTGTACACCAACAGAAGATGAGTCAGCCTAAAACACCTCTTATAAAGGTTGCTTCCCAGGTGCCCCGGGGTCCCAGGTCTACTCAGCGTCAGTGGATGTGGGACAGATTTCTCACCCAGTATCAGTACTCTGATACTTGAGAAAACTGAAGATGCTGAAACACCCTAGCATGACCCTCTCCCTGATGAGTCACAGCCTTGTATAATCTATTCCCACTGAGAGCAGGCAGAATCTAGGACTCACTTCTAACCGATATAGTATGGCAGGAGTGATGAGATGTATTTCCAATGATTGCATTGTATTATTTAAGTGTCTGTCCTAGCAGACTGGAGAGAGACACTCTCTGCTTTTCTTGAGCAAGCACAGAGTCATGTGTACATTGCTTATGGGAAGATCACATGGCAGGGAATTGCCCACAGCATCTAGGACCTGAGAGCAACCTTCAGTCAGGATCCAATAAGAAGTTAAAGTCCTAAGTCATAGACACTCAATGAAATTAGTTCTGCAGCAATCTGAAAGAGCTTTAAAGTGCATGTGTACTCAGGTGAGTCTCAGGTGAGAATGCAGTCTACACTGTGGTAAAGTCTTGTAAAACCTTATGGACATTCTTCTACATGTGACTTGCCAATTATCTGAGCACCTTTTGTTGCATAGGACGTCGTTTCCCCACTTTATGTTTCTGTTTGCTTTGTCAAAGATTAGTATATTGTAAGTATTTGACTTTATCTCTGGGTTCTCTAGTATGTTCCATTGGTTTATATGTCTATTTTTATATGAGTACCATGCTGTTTGAGTGACTATGACCTTGTAGTATAGCTTGAAGTTGAGTAATGTGATGCCTCCAGATTTGTTCTTTTGGCTTAGTCTTGCCTTGGTTATTTGGGCTTCTTTTTTGATTCCACTTGAATTTTAGGATAGTTTATTTTCTAGTTCTGTGAAGAAGGATGGTGGTACTCCTACGGGAACTGCACTGAATTTATAGATTGCTTTTGGAAGTAAGGTCATTTTCATGATATTGATTCTACCTATCCATGAGCGTGGGATGTGTTTCCATTTGTTTGTGTCATCTATGATTTCTATCAACAGTTTCTTGTAGTTTTCCTTGTAGAGATCTTTCATGTCCTGAGTTAGGTATTTTCCTAAGTATTTCTCTTTTATGAGCTATCATGAAAGGGGTTGAGTTCTTGATTTGACTCTCAGCTTGGTCGCTATTGGTATATAGCAGAGCTATTGATTTGTGTACATTCGTTTTGTGTCCTGAAACTTTGCTGAATTCATTTACCAATTCTAGGACCTTTTTGGGTCATCTCTCACCTTATATAAAATAAATTCAAGATGGATCAAAGACTTAAATCTAAGATCCGAAATTATAAAGATTCAAGGAGACAACATTAAAAAACCCTTCTAGACGTTGGCTTGGGCAAAGACTTCATGACCAGACACCCCAAAACAAATGCAAGAAAAAGAAAGATAAATATATCAGACTTATTAAACTAAAAAGCTTCTACACAGTAAAAGAAATAATCAGCAGAGTTAATAGAGACAACCCATAGAGTGGGAGAAAATCTTCATGATCTATACCACCAACAAAGGACTAATATCCAGAACCTACAAAGAACTCAAAAAAATCAGCAAGAAAAAACAAACAGTCCTATCAGCAAGTGGGCTAAGGACACGAATAGACAATTCTCAAAAGAAGATATACAAATGGTCAACAAACATATGGAAAAAGCT